ATTTCTGTAAAGGACACATTTGGAACTTTGACAGGGATTGCATTGAATCTGTAGATCCCTTTGGAAAGTATGGCCATCTTAACAATATAAACTCTTCCAATCCATGAACATGGGATGTCTTTCTATTCATTTTGGTCTTCTTTAATTTCTTTCAGCAATGTTTTACACTTATTTGTATACAAGTATTGTATCTTCTTGGTCAAATTCATTCCTAAATATTTTATTCTTTTTGATAATATTATAAATGAAATTGTTTTCTTAAATTTCCTTTTCAAATTGTTCCTTGCTAATATATAGAACCACAGATGATTTTTATGTCTTGATATTGAACTGTGCAACTTGGCTGAATTTATCAACTCTAATACTTGGGTATTTGTTGATTCGTTATGATTTTCTATATATAAGATCATCTCATCTGTGAATAGAGATATTTCTTCATCTTCCTTTCCAATTTGCATGTCTTTTATTTATTTTTATTGCCTAATTGCTCTGTCTAGAACTTCCAGTAAAATGTTGAAGTGATCAAAGTGAGTATCCTCTCATCTTATTCTTGATCTTAGGGGGAATGCTTTCAGTCTTCCATCATTAAGTCATTAAGTCTTCCACCATTAAGTCATTAAGTCTTCCACGATGTTAGCTGTGGGTTTTTTAATAAATGCCCCTTACCATGTTGAGGAAGTACCTTTCTACTCCTAGCCTGACGAGAGTTTTTTTAATCAGAAAGGATGTAAGATTTTGTCAAAGTTTTTTCTGCATCAATTGAGATGATCATTTGATTTTGGTCCTTTATTCCACTAATGTGCTATATTACATTGACTGATTTTCATATACTGAACCACTATTTTTTTCCTGGAATAAATACCACTGGTCATGATGTATAATCATTTTAATAAGCTGCTGAATTCAGTTTTCTGGTATTTTGTTGAGGATTTTTACATCTACATTCACATGGCACATTAATCTGTAGTCTTGTGATGTCTTTGTCTGGCTTTGTTATCACAGGAGTGCTGACCTCATAGAATGAGTTCAGAAGCAGTTCTTCCTCTTCTATTTTTGGAATAGTCTGAGAAGGTTTGGTGTTAATTTTTCTTTAACTGTTTGGTAGAATTTACCAGTGAAGTCATTGGGTCCTGGTCTTTTGTTTCTTAGGAGGTCTTTGACTATTGGCTAATTCTTTTTACATGTTATAGGTCTATTTACATTTCTGTTTCTTCTTGAGTCAGTTTTTACAGTTTTGTGTTTCTAAGAATTTTTCCATTTCATCTAGGTTACTAATTTGTTGGTGTACAGTTGTTCATAGTATTCTCTTATAATCCTTTTCATTTCTATAAAAGCAGTAAGAATGTCCTCACTTTCACTTCTGATTTTAGTAATTTGTGATTTCTCTCTTTCTCTCTTGGTCAGTTAAGTTTTGTCAATATTTTTAATCTTCTCAAAGAACCAGTTTTGGTGTGTTTGATTCTCTATTGTTTTTCTATTCTCTATTTCATTCCATTTCACTTCTCTATTTCTATTCCCTATTCCATTCTAATCTTAATTATTTCCTTCCTTTGGCTGCTGTTGCATTTAGTTTGCTCTTCCCTTAAAACAGAAAGTTATTGCTTTGAGATATTTATTCTTTTTTAATATAGGTATTTATAGCCATAAATTTCCCTTTGAGTATTACTATTGCTGCATCCCTTAAGTTTTGGTATGTTGTATTTTTGTCTTCATTCATCTCAAAATATTTCATAATTTCCCTTATGATGTCTTCTTTGACCTACGGTCATTTAAGAGTATGTTAATTAATTTCTCATATTTGTGAATTTGCCAGTTTTCTTTTTGTTATTTCTAGTTTTATTCCATGCAGTCAGAGAAGATACCTTATATGATTTGAATCTTTTAAAATTTATTAAGCCTTATTTCATTGCCTACTATATGGTCTATCCTGGATAATGTCCATGTGCACTTGAGAAGAATGTGTACTGTTGTTGGGCAGGGTGTTCTATATATAACTGTTATACCTAGCTGGTTTATAATGTTGTTGAAGAACTCAGTTTGTTTTTTTGATCTTCTGTCTAGCTGTTCTATGTATTATTAAAAGTAAGGTTTTGGGGCTTCCCTGGTGGTGCAGTGGTTAAGAATCCATCTGCCAGTGCAGGGGACATGGGTTTGAGCCCTGGTCCAGGAAGATCCCACATGCCGCAGAGCAACTAAGCCCATGCGCCACAACTACTGGGCCTGTGCTCTGGAGACTGCAAGCCACAACTACTAAGCCCATGTGCCACAACTACTGAAGCCCGCGTGCCTAGAGCCCGTGCTCCGCAACAAGAGAAGCCACCGCAATGAGAAGCCTGTGCACCGCAATGAAGAGTAGCCCCTGCTTGCCACAACTAGAAAAAGCCTGCGCGCAGCAACAAAGACCCAACACAGCCATAAATAAATAAATAAACAAACAAACAAACTGTAAATTGGCCAAAGGACTCAAAGAGACATTTCTCTAAAAAAGATAAATGGTCAACAAGCACATGAAAAGATGCTCAACATCATTAGTTACTGGGGAAATGCAGACCAAAAACATAATTAAATACCACTTTATACTCATTTAGATGGCTATAATAATAATACAAATAGAAAAATAGCTAGTGTTAGCAAGGAGGTAGAAAAAAGGAACCCCTGAACATGTCTGATGAGAATGCACAGGCATACTTTGGAGGTACTGAGGGTTCAGTTCCAGACCACTGCAACAAAGCAAACACTGTGGGAATTCCCTGGCAGTCCAGTGGTTAAGACTCTGTGGTCTCACTGCTGAGGGCCTGGGTTCAATTCCTGGTCAGGGAACTAAGATCCCACAAGGCACACAGTGCAGCCGAAAAACAAAAAAAGCAAACGTCGCAATAAAGTGACAATTTTTTTATTTTGTTTTCCCAGAGCATATAAAAGTTATAGTTACACTATACTGCAATTTATTAAGTATGCAATAGCATTATGTCTACATAATGCCAAAACTGTTACAATAGTAACATCAAAAATCACTGATCACAGATCACCATATCAAATATAATAATGAAAAAGTTTGAAATATTGTGAGAATTATCAAAATGTGACACAGAGACAAAAAGTGAGAAAATGCTGTTAGAATAATGGTGCTGCTAGACTTGCTGATGCAGGGTTGCCACAAACATTCAATTTGTAAAAATACATTATCTGTGAAGGGCAATAAAAGTGCACTAAAATGAGGTATGCCTATAAAATATTTCAGGCCCGATAGGTAAGTCTGTTCCTCAAAAATTAAACATAAAACTACCATATGACCCCACAGTACCACTTCTGGGTATACTGTATGCCAACAGAGCTGAAAACAGGTACTCAAAACAAATACTTGTACTTGCATGTATGCAACAGGCCTATCACAATAGCCAAAAAGTAGAAACAACTTAAATGTCCATCAACAGATGAATGTATAAGCAAATTGTAATGAATCAATAATACTGAATATTATTCAGCCAAAAAAGGAATGAAGTGCTGATTGAAACATGCTGCAATGTGGGTCAACTTAAAAAGCGTTACACTAGTGAAAGAAAGTCAGGCCCAACATGTCACATACTGTAAGATTCCATTTATATTAAATATTCAGATTAGATCAATCCAGAGGGACAAAAAGCAGGTTTGTGATTTGCCAGGCACTATAGGAAAACAAGAATGAGAAGTAACTGCCTAGTGGATATGGGGCTTTCTTTGGGCGTGATGAAAATATTTTGGAACTAGGTAGAAGTAGTAGTTGCACAAAATTATGAATATACTAAATGCCACTCAATTGTTCACTTTAAAATGGTTAATTCTGTTTTATGTGATTGTAACCTCATTAAATATTTGCCTATTTAAAATCAACCTGCCATATTTATGTGGGTCTATTTCTGGCCTCTTTATTCTATGCCATTGATCTGTGTGTCTACCCCTCTACCAATATCACACTCTTTTGATTAACATAGCTTTAGAGAAAGTCTTATAATCAAGTAATGTGATTTCTTCAATTTTTTTCTTATTTTTCGAAACTGTTTAGGCCATTCTAGTTCTTTTATCTTTCCACGTTGCATTAAAACTATTGATCAATCAGGGGAGAATTGACATTTTTACTACTTTGAGTCTTTCCAATTTATGAACATGGTATGTCTTTCCATTTATTTAGGACATCTTTGACTTATTTCACCAGTGATTTATAGTTCTCAGCACACACAACCTCTACATGATTTGTTAGATTTATAACTATTTCTTTTCTTGAAGCTATTGTAAAGTACATTGTTTCCAATGTACAGAAATAGAATTTGTTTTGTTTATTGACCTTGAATCTTGTGATCTTACTAAATTTACTTATTTTAGAGATTTTGGCAGGGTCTTAGAATTTTCTACATTGACAATCATGTCATCAGTGAACAGGAACAGTTTTGTTTTTCCTTTTCAATCTGGATGTTTTTTATTTCCCTTTCTTTCGTTATCGCACTGGTCAAACCTTCCAGTACAACGCTAAACACGAGTGGCAGGACTGGGTATTCTTGTTTTGTTGCTTATCTCAGAGGGAAAGCATTCAATCTTTGATAACTAAGTATGATATGAGCTATAGAGCTTTTTTTTTTTTTTTCAGTATGCGGGCCTTTCACTGTTGTGGCTTCTCCCGTTACGGTGCACAGGCTCTGGACGCGCAGGCTCAGCGGCCATGGCTCATGGGCCTAGCTGCTCCGTGGCATGTGGGATCTTCCCAGACCGGGGCACAAACCCGTGTCCCCTGCATCGGCAGGTGGACTCTCAACCACTGCGCCACCAGGGAAGCCCTATAGAGCTTTTTAAATAGATGCTCTTTTACAGGTTGAAGAAGTTCCATTCTATTCCTAGTTTCCTGGGAGTTTTTGTCATAAGTAAATGTTGTATTTTGCCTCCATCTTCACCACAGTGCTCACTTCTAGGTTTCTAGTTGTGCTGAGCTGAGGTAAAGGGATATCAGAGAACATAAATTGTAAACTCACCATCAGTTCAGTGGTACTTTGAACTCTGGTGTTCTTCTCCAAATCACAAACTGCTATTAATGCTTTGACGTTCTCGAATAGCTGCTCCATACATTCTATCCAGGTTTTAGAGTTGTTTTCTATGTGAGAGAAAAGGTGAAGCATGCTTACTTCATCTTATCCAGAGATGGAACCCCAATACTTAGTTTTCCTTGTGCCTTTCCAACATCTATACATTTTCTTTCTTTTCCTGTATTACTGGTTCTCCACTCTGATACCTAATCCCTGCCTCCACCGAGGTCTTCCCAAATTAGTTCACTTCTTTTCAAAGGCTTTACTTAATCTTTTTTCTTGTCCACAATCTTCTTCCCTGTCCCACCTGCTACTATTAGTTACCTGGAAGCCAACTTGTCACCCTCTGCTTTAGTCCCTTCTTAGTCAGGTTTTTAAAATTCAGATATAAGACACATATCATAAAATTCACCACTTTGAAATTTTTAATTCAGTAGTTTTATTACCATACTTACATTTCATTATCACTATTTAATTCCAGAACATTTTCATCACCCCAAAAGAAACCCTGTATCTTTAGCAGTCAACCTCCACCCGCTGCAGCTTCCAGTCCCTGGAAACCACTAATCCACTTTCTGTCTCTATAGATTTGTCTGTTCTGGATATTTCATACAACATGTGACCTTTTGTGTCTGACTCCTTTCACTTAGAATGTTTTCAATGTTCATCTATGTTGTAGCATATATCAGAATTTCCTTTCCTTTTATTGCGAAACAACATTCCATTGTATGGATATACCACATTTTATTTATCCATTTATTAGTTGATGGACATTTGGGTTGTTTCTAGTTTGGGGCTATTGTGAATAATGCTGCTATGTACATTCATATATAAGTTTTCTGTGGACACAAGTTTTCTATTCTCTTGGGTCTATATGTAGCAGTGGAATTGCTGGGACAAATGGTAATTCGATGTTTAACTTTTGAAGTTAGTGCCCAAGTGTTTTCTACAGTGGCTGAACAATTTAAATTCCCACCAGCAGTGTATGAGGGTTCTAATTTTTCCACATTCTTAATAACACGTTCTTATCTATTATCCACATGCTAGTGGATAGTATCTCATTGTGGTTTTGATTTCCATTTCCATGATGGCTAATGATGTTGAGTGCCTTTTTATGTGCTGACTGGCCATTTGTATATCTTATTGTGAGAAACGTCTATTCAAATCCTTTGCCCTTTTCAATATTAAATTCTCTACTACTGAGTTTCTTTCATGTAGTGTTAAATAATGCTGCTTGAGGTGAAGTTTCTGACCACTTGGGGGTTGATGGTTGTGAAAAGTTGAGACATAGACCAAAAAACCAAAAAACAAAAACAAACAAACCCTTTTAGCAAGTAGAATTGCTTATATACTAAAGTGCCTAAATTTTTGTAGGTGTTTTCTTTGTGTCTGAATGTATCTAGACTTCTTGTCTCCGCCTTTAGTGCTCTAATCATGTCATTCATAAGAACTTTAAAACTTAAAATAAAAATATCAAAAATAGAGGCTTCCCTGGTGGCACAGTGGTTGAGAGTCCGCCTGCCAATGCAGGGGACACGGGTTCATGCCCCGGTCCGGGAAGATCCCACATGCTGCGGAGCAACTGAGCCCGTGCGCCACAACTACTGAGCCTGAACTCTAGAGCCCGCTAGCCACAACTACTAAAGCTCGCACGCCTACAGCCTGTGCTCTACAACAAGAGAAGCACGCGCACCGCAACAAAGAGTAGCCCCTGCTAGCCGCAACTAGAGAAAGCCTGCACACAGCAACGAAGACCCAACGAAGCCGAAAGTAATTAATTAAGAGCTTAGGGCTTCCCTGGTGGCGCAGTGGTTGAGAGTCCGCCTGCCGATGCAGGGGACACGGGTTCGTGCCCCGGTCCGGTAAGATCCCACATGCCGCAGAGTGGCTGGGCCCGTGAGCCATGGCCACTGAGCCTGCGCTTCCGGAGCCTGTGCCGCGCAACGGAAGAGGCCACAACAGTGAGAGGCCCACATACCGCGCAAAAAAATAAAATAAAAATGAAAAAAAAGAACTTATACAAAATTAATTAATGTAATCCATCACACCAACAGGCTAAAGAATAAAAATCGATACTGTCAAGATGGTAATTCTTCCCAACTTGATCTACAGGTTCAATGGAATCCCAATAAAATCCCAGCAAGGGCTTTCCTGGTGGCACAGTGGTTAAGAATCCGCCTGCCAATGCAGGGAACACGGGTTCGAGCACTGGTCTAGGAAGACCCCACATGCCGCGGAGCAACTAAGCCCGTATGCCACAACTACTGAGCCTGCGCTCTAGAGCCCAGGAGCCACAACTACTGAAGCCTGCACGCCCTACAGCCCATGCTCCGCAACAAGAGAAGTCACTGCAATGAGAAGCCCGCGCACTGCAACGAAGAGTAGCCCCTGCTCGTTGCAACTAGAGAAAGCCTGCGCACAGCAACGAAGACCCAATGCAGCCAAAAATAAATAAATAAAATAAATTTATTTTTTAAAAAATCCCAGCGAGTTATTTTCTGGATATTGACAAATTGATTTTTAAATATATATGGAGAGGCACAAGACCCAGAATAGCCACCATGATATTGAAGGAGAAGAAAAAATTAGAGGACTGACATTACTCAACACTGACTTACTGTAAAGCTACAATAATCAAGACTGTGGTGTAGGTGAAGGAATAGACAAATAGATCAATGGAACAGAATAGAGAGCCCAGAAATAGACCAACATAAATATGGACAGCTGACTGTTGACAAAAGGGCAAAGGCAATAAAATGGAGGAAAGACAGTCTTTTTAACAAATGGTCCTAGAACAACTGGACATACACATGCAAAAAAAAAAGAGAAGAATCTACATGCAGATTTTACACCCCTCACAAAAATAATTCAAAATGGATTCTAGATCTAAATGTAAACCAAAATAATAAAACTCCAGAAGATAAAACATAGGAGAAAACCTACATGACTTTGGGTTTGGTGATGACTTGATACAGTAGATACAACACTAAAGGCATGCTCCAGGAAAGAAATGATTGATAAGTTGGACTTCATTAAAAACTTTTGCTCTGCGAAGACACTGTCAAAAGAATAAGACAAGCCACAGACTGGGAGAAAACATTTGCAAAATACTTATCTAATAAAGGAATTTTATATAACTTATGCAAAGAACTCTTAAAATTCAACAATAAGAAAATGATCAACTTGATTAAGAAAGGGGCAGAAGATATGAACAGACACTTCACCAAACAATGTACACAGATGGTAAAAAAACATGAAAAGATGCTCCATATCATGTCATTAGGGAACTGTAAATTAAAGCAATGAGACACCACTATACAACTATCAGAATGGTGAAAATCCAAAAACACTGAGAACTACAAATACTCATAAGAATATGGAAAAACAGAAACTCTTATGCATTACTGATGGGAATGCAAAATGGCACAGCTTCTCCTGTTATTCTTCTGCAAATCCCAGACCACTTTGTGCCTACAGATGGTTAGAGGACAGACTGCTTCCAGGTCCCAGATGGTGTACAGGACAAGAAGTAATTTGGGAGGTCATAGCACCCAGGTTAACTCCAAGGGACTAGCCAAAGAGAAAACAGGGTTCTTTCTGAGAAAAAGAGACCACACTTAAGAAGGGATTCCTGTCACTTGTGGAGACAGGTGAGAGATCATGATTTAGTTGAGAGTGATGATACCTCCTGAGATGTCCGTGCCCTGGTCTCTCCTTTTCCTCCTTCTAAGACAGTGAGGGCTGATGTGAGTGGTCAGGATGGTGGTGGAATGGAGCCCTAGCAGGCTGTCTCAGACAGCCTAAGGAGAAGAATGTGTAATAAGGAATCAGTCAGGAGCCCTGACTCCTAAATCCTGCTCCACAACATGCATCGACAAAAATTTACTTTCTTCCTAGAACTCTTGTGGTATCTAAACTGGGAACCAGGAAATCTCAATTCTCTCCCTGCATCTTCTGCAACACATCTTAAGGCAACCACTTCCTGAAATTTGTCTTATATACCTGATGTCTCAAGTGGGACTGATGGTCCTTGTCCTTCACCCCTCCTGGGGAGTAGATGAGTTTTGAAGTTGAAAGATCTTATACTGGGTTGTCAGCTTTGTAAAAGTGACGTGCCATTTTCCAAACCCTTGTGTGTAAAACACTCGTTGCATAGCAGACGCTAGAAGCAATTGAGAATGTTGTTGCTAAAACGTTTGGATCTTCTACTAGATACAGAAGATGCCAAACACAATCGCTTGCATTGACCTACGAGAAACAAATTCTTTGGCTGGGGCCCTTGCAAGAGAGGTCTCCAAGTTCTCTCCTAGAAAGAGAATGCACGGGTACTAGTTCTACTCTGCCCGCAATATCTAACCATGTGATCTGAAGCTTCACCTTCCTAATGTTTAATGGTGATGCCTGTCCCCCTACCCAAGAGGCTGTGTGGTGTAAAGGAAGGGGCATTTAATTGCTAGTCAGGTGGCGTGGGATCTAATTTTGTTCCACTAATTCAGATACTCTCTCAAGTTTCCATAATGGTGAAAGGATTAACTAGGTCAGCGTTTCCCAAACTGGTATTCCACAAAACTATCTGAGAGATGGATGTTAGGTGTGAATGTCACACACCCACCACCACCACCACCACCACGATCAAAAAAGGCTGGCAATCACTGCATGCTTATACTCCTCTCCTTTGACCCGGAGTTTACACTGTACATTTAATTTTTTAAAATAAATTTACCTATCTATCTATCTATTTATGGCTGCGTTAGGTCTTCGTTGCTGCGCCTGGGCTTTCTTTAGTTGTGTCGAGCGGGGGTTACTCTTCCTTGCGGTGCACGAGCTTCTCATTGCGGTGGCTTCTCCTGTTGTGGAGCATGGGCTCTAGGTACGCGGGCTCAGGAGTTGTAGTACGAGGGCTCTAGAGTGCAGGCTCAGTAGTTGTCGCACACAGGCTTAGTTGCTCAGTGGCATGTGGGATCTTCTTGGACCAGGGCTCAAACATGTGTCCCCTGCATTGGCAGGCGGATTCTTAACCACTGTGCCACTAGGGAAGCCCTGCAGTGTACATTTAAACATAAGCACTGAGAAGTCCTCCTATAACAAAACATTGACTTTAACCCACTGCCCCCAGATTTACTTGGGTGCATAATACTTTTTTCATGGAATAGCTCTGCATATCTCACATTGTTCTCTACCTACGTTTGGTACCCACTGACAGAACAGATTTCCAAGGCCCCTTCCAGGTCCTTCTATACACCTCGGTGTTGAGACAGTCCTTGGGAAGAGATGTGCTGAGTGCCTGCAAGACCCCTAGGTCTGTGTGGGTATTCAGGCGCTTACTAATGGCAAGTGTTGGAGAGCAGACGTGGTGGGGGTGGGTGCTGAGAGGACAGGCAACCTGAGTGGAGGTGCTTTCCTTGGGGTGCACATGGAATCCAGTCTTCTTATTCCAGGGTGAAGTTCCCTGAGCTCCAAGCTACAGCATTCATTCAGATAGAATGATAGCCTCACACATTCCAACGTCCCCAACATAGGAATCCTCTGTGCATTCCTTCAGAGGGCCTGCATGCTCTTCTCTTCCATCTCTCCTGATAAAGAACAAGACCAGGACTCATGACCATCACACATTTGTCAAGCACTCAATACCTGAAGAAAGGAGAACACTGGGCCAGGGGGTGCTCTGAGTAACCAAAGCTAATGTTCAGGTGGCTGTGGCAGTTTTTTTCTGTTTGATATAAGTGGACCCTTGAAGAACATGTGTTTGAACTGCAAGGCTCCACTTACATGTGGACTTTTTTCAATAAATAGGTACCGCAGCACATGATCCATGGTTGGTTGAAGCTGCAGATGCAGAGGGCCAACTGTAAAGTTATACATGGATTTTCAACTGTGTAGGAGTTGGCGCAACTAACCTACCCTGCGCGTTGTTGAAGAATCAACTGTATTTTCATCCTTGTATTTATGTCAGTTTTGTGCCCAACACTGAAGTCTACACAAGACAGACAAAACCCCTGCCCTCCTGATGCTTATATTCTAATGGGTTAAGACAGACAAAAGCAACCAAACCAAATAACTCTGCCTTGTGATACTTCCTATGAAGGGAATAAACACAATACTCAGAATGGTTAAGTGCAGACATGACTGACTGGTATAAGAGTGAAGGTCAAGGGAAGACAGAGCCCTTGTGCAAGCTCGGATTTCAAACTGTGGGAGCTGTGGAGAGATCCAAGAGGAGAATACTGTAGAAGCGCCTCTTAACTCAAAGAAGAGTAAGACTGGAAATATGAGCTCCTCCTTTAAGGATGATGAATAGCTTTGATGCTGGGTAATGCTTACTCAACAGGAAGTTACAGGAAGAAGGAAACATTAAAACACATTTCCATAACTCCTCTGTGTGAGAAACTATTGTTCCTTAAGCTACTAACATTTTAAAAAAGATTGTTCTGAAGCTTAAAATATCTCTTCTCTTTGTGAACATTAAAGATCCTCCACTTTTTCATTTTTTCACATGCTTTGAAACTGTTCTGTTTGTACAAGTCATGGACAAATGCTTAGTGTGAAAATCATGATGCTGGAAATATTATATTCATTGGTTAAAAACATTCAACAGAAAGATTTCTTACCAAGTTTTCCCTTGAAGGTTCAGGGTATTCAAATACTATAAACCTTATTTTTGTATTAGTGCTTAGATTTGTGCAATTCAAGATTCATAATCCTACTGTGGTGGAAATGAAAAGCGATTCTGATAGTTTTCCTAAATCTGAAACTGAGTGAAAGACAAGAGCTTGCTTGCATAATTCCTCTCACAAGAGCCAGATGGGAGAACTGCTTTGAGTGAAGTGCAGGCATTATCAGATATGGATGATTTATACAGAAGGAAAGCCTTACAGACGCTTGACTGTGGAAAGAACTTCAGTACAGCCCAGTACCCTTGTCCACTGGAGAATTCATACACAAAGAAACCCTACACATACATTGGGTTCGGTAGATGCTTTAAACAGTGCTCCAGCCTTGCTCTCCATTGAACCCACACAAGGAAGAAACTATAAAAGTGACAAGTGTGGAATAGATTCAGCAACAAATTGCTTCTGTACTTGTTTGGAAAGAACCCTAGAAACAGAATGTGGGTAAAGCTTCAGCACTTCCTACTCAGGGCACTTCAGAGACTGTACAGGAGATAACCCACAGAAAGAACATGAGGCCTTCAGCAAATAATCCACTGTAAGCACTAGAGGGAAAGCTCCTGAGAGAAAAGTAATGGGCAGCCTTGATCCATTACACGAGTGGGAACGAGCCAGGAAATGCACAAGATGCTCGGTAAACACTTGTCTGTGGAGTGGTTCAACGAATGTCTGGAAAATCCTTTATGGTGTTCAAAGCTTTTTATTATCCCAACTGTCCAGCTGGATAGAAAAGGCTGCTTAGCATTCTTCCTCTAAAAATCTCCAGCACAATTAAACAGTTCTGTTTCAAAAGCTGATCGAAACCCTAGCAGTTTGTTTTATCCAAGCTCTCCTCCTGTACTTCCCCTCCAGTTAAAAGATAGTTGAGATTCTCAAGATGAGCTTGAGGTTACAGTCAGCTTAATGGCGAGAACTCTGGGTATACAATGGTCGCAGGACCGTGTCCACTGGGACCCATGCAGAGAAGGGGTCGAGGATTTGGGGGCGAGGCTAGGTCAGTGATCCAATTCTCAGAACCAACCTTGGAGCCACTATAAGGCTGTTAACTGGACACACAAAAACGAAGCACCTTCTGGTTTGTCCTAGAAATCATCTGATTTTGCAGGTCATATTAGTGAGAACTTTAACACTGTTTGAGGCTGAACCTAGGGTTGTGTCTGATTTTTTAAACGAAGCCTCACAGTTTTAGTTTTACCTTGTTGTTTTACTAATCGGCTCTCATCGCTGTGATGAGGTATAGAATGCCTTCTTCCAACCTGAATACATCCAACCCAAATTCCAAAACATATGTAGTAGTAAAACACTGTGCTGATTAGTGGCTAAGTTAGAACTTTCCCACTGGAAGTTTCTCATTCCCCAGCTGGAGTGCCCTGCTCCTGTTTTCCTGTCCAAGCTTCTTCCCAACTGTTACCTTTCAGTCCAGGAAAAGAAGCCACCTTCCTCTTTACAACAATCTGGGAAAACTTGGTGATCTCCTTCCCATTTTCTAAGGCACAATTCAAAGAAGGTACAACAGAGCTATTTACCAAACCATTCCTTGAAGTCTACTGCACTCACTTAGAATGGAAAGGAACCCCTAACCTCTCCCTAGCCCACTGATCAACAGAAGCCCTTCCTGTGCATGTAGGGCTGTGGAGCAGTGGAACAGAGGGCAGACAAAGACAACGAAATGGAATAAGGCCAGAGAGAGAGACAGATGGTTGCCTCATCCACTTCAACAACTGACCTCTACAGGATTTGTCCCTGGTAAGCAAGCAAGCAGTCTGTCTTTCCCATCACCTATAGTCTTATAAGCTCCTAAGTGTTCCCATCAGTGTTACACCAGCTCAGTGGAGCATCTAGAGGAAACTAGATCTCTTCCAAGGACCAAAGACCAGGTGGAATGACAAAGAAGTTTCCTGAGCTCTAGCAGAAGACGGTCTTACTGACAGGCCAGGTTATGCTGCAGAAACACATAGCACCAACATCCCATTGACTTAACACAACAAAAGTTTATTTCTCATTCCTACAGTCCATTATAGGTCTGGGGGACTCTCCAGAACAGATACCCCTCCCCAATGTGGGGGGCTCGGCATTCCAGACTGTTCTGATCTTGTGACTCCTCTCTATGTGCTTATATGACTGAGGCAGGAAAAGACATCACTAGAGAGTCCTGCAGCAACAAACAAATGCTACAGCCGAGAAGGGAAACTTTTGCTCACACCCAATGCTCAAAACTATCTCAGGATGCTAACTGCAAGGAGAAAAAAGTCTAACCACTCCCTTCTTACTGTTCACTAGGATACAAGCTCCATGA